AGAATTGTTGATTTTTTAGGCCGGTCGTCCTTTGGATGCGTTTTCGTCCGAAATATTTTCGTCAGAAATCGGAGGAATAATTTCGTCAGATTTCGCATATGTGGTATCGTCCACTATAGACAAGTTTTCGCATTGTACGAAGTCAGTCATATGTAGTAATTTATCAAATAAGCATACTATAATAATTATTAATACTTAATATGGATCATATTCTTTTGGAAAATAGTTACCTTGTTAGACGGCGATTAAAATTAAAAAGAAAAAATGTTGGGTTAATGACATATTAGCAAAACGAAAAGAATTCGGAGAATTTCATCATTTATATGATGATTTGAAAAAGGACGAGAAAAAGTTTTTTGATTACTATCGCATGAATCAGGATACATTTAACTATATTTTAGATGCCATAAGAGAACCAATTAAAAAAATGTCGAATTTCCGTGAGACCATTTCACCAGAAGAACGATTGAGTGTGACTCTAAGGTAAGTTATAATAAATACAGTAGTTGCAACATTTCCAATTTTATTATTAAAAAATACAAAGAAAAGAAATACATTGTTTTATGCGCTGAAGTGAGTAATATAGTTCTGAATGGATAACGGCTGTTGAGAGGAAACATCTTCTCTTCTTTCACTTGAATATTGTGAGACCACGGAAGATTCTGTATTTTGCAAAGATGAAGAATGATGTGGTGTTGATATTAAGTCATTACAATAGAATGACGCTCTGGAGGAATCGGTGTCTGTGTAAGACATTGGAGAAGGCAACGGTGTTGATGTAATTGTTTCATTGGAACGATATGATGCTCCGGGCGCGTGTCTTGTAGATAATTGCTCCTCATCAAGAAATACTTGCTGCAACTTACTTCTTATTAGCATTTGTCGATTTTGAGGTACAGCCTTTAAAAAGGGCAGGAGACTGAGTAGGAATTGGCGTTCACTGTCACTATCTTCTCTATTTTTATGTTGGCACAATATTTCCAATTTGGCTCTTTCTATTTCGAGGAACTTGTCGTCCATTGAATTTGCCTCGGAATTCCTAGCATATTTTAGACGACTGTTTGTGTTTTTCTTAGTTTGCATAGTTGTACTACTAGGTGTACTGAATGTACTTTTAACCTCATTACCAGATGTGGATGGCTGCTGTATATCTGTATTTACAATTTGCTGTGATGACTCTTGAATGGTTGATTGAGAGTATGCATTGTCTGCATCAGGCTCCAATGTCGATTCTGTTTCGGAATAAGAGTTGTTATTGTCTTCCTTTTGCGGAGATATATTTCCATGCAGTTTACGTCGTTCAACAGTTTTAGATAAAAACAACAGTATTTTATAATATGGCCATTTGGAGGTAACTACCGATTCTGCACCATCTCCAGATTTCTGTTTTTTCGACTTGTTGAATTCCTTCCGGAATGTGTCTCGCAGCCCCCTCCATTTATTTTTTAGTTCATCAACTGAAACAAAAAAAATCGTTACAAATTAATCACGTTTTTTTTTCATTTCAGGTATTTGGCAACGGGCTCCTCGTTTAAGACATTGGGGTATTCGTTTCGAATATCAGATGTCACGGTGGGTAGAATTGTTCACGAAACGTGTGATGCTATTTGGGACAAGTTGGGTACTGTACATATGCCATTTCCGAAAAATGAAGACATGGAATCTATATCTGAAGGATTTTGGAATAAGTGGAAATTTCCAAACTGTGTTGGATGCATAGATGGGAAACACATACGCATACAGAATCCAAAGCACTCTGGAAGTATGTATCGAAACTACAAGCAATACTTCTCAATTGTTTTACAAGCTGTGGCTGGACCAAACTACAAATTTATAGCAATTGATGTGGGAGCGTACGGTAAAGAAAGTGATGGTGGTATTTTTTCGCATTCAAATCTTTGCCAAAAGCTTGAAAACGGAGGATTAGGTGTTACAAGACATTGTGCACTGCCGGGAACAAATATTAAAGTACCTCATGTTCTTTTGGGAGATGAAGCTTATCCACTAAAAACTTATTTAATGAGACCTTTTCCAGTATCAAAATTAGGACCTTCAGAAATAATTTTTAATGAGCGTTTGTCTCGAGCAAGACAAGTTGTTGAATGTGCATTCGGAATTATGAGTAGCAAATGGAGATTATTACAAAAATCAATTGAAGTAAATCCCGAATCTGCCGATAAACTTATTAAATGCATATGCCTCTTGCATAACATTATAATTGATAAAGAAGGAGAGCAACAAGTAGCATGTACATTCGAGCAAATCCCTCATCAAACACATTCAAGAACGGGAAGATTTGGAACCTTGGGTGAAAACAGAGGCACCAGTTCAGCTTATGACATCAGGGATAAATTTAAAACTTATTTTTCATCTCAAGAATTGTATAATGCATAATTTAAAATCAATAAAATATTCAAATACATTTTGGATTTCAATGAGCCTTACCCATATATGCCTTTTCTACATTATAAACAACAAAGACAAATATTTTGTTTGTTTGCAAATACATATATCATAGGTACCTGACACCTAAATTTGATTTAACTTACCCTTAGTATTCATTTCAACTGCCACTTCTTGCCACAATTTTCTTTGTATATCTCTCATGTGATATGATTTATCGGTCATATCCCATAGAGGCTTTTTTTCATAAATTAAAGTAATTAATTTTTCAACATCCATCTCGTTCTGTTACAAATACAAATCGACTATCAATTCGTCATAACAACTGCGAAAAATCCCATTTGTTTCGGATAGATCGCACTTCGCATGTTTTCGTCCGAATTCGTACGAAGCAGTTCGGACGCAGTGTACGAGCATCAATAGGTTTCAATGAAACGGGATGCTTCGCACTTCTTCGTCCGATTTCTGACGAACGCAATTCGGACGAAAACGCATCCAAAGGACGACCGGCCTTAAAGAGCAATGCAAAAAGGCTTCCGCATAATTTTACACTTACCCCAAGAATAAATGAGTTTGAAGTTTGAATCATTTCAACTCTTGACTTCCTGCCTATAGGGTTGATGGGTTTTAAATTATTTTTTTTTTAGTATTATTTGATAGATGTTTAATTTTGTTTGGGGGGGGGGTGTCATGATCCCCATGACCTACCCCTTGAATTCTCCACTGTATTTGGAAGATATGCCTACCGCTGCATATAGTTTTTACTGTTTTCGTACTGACCGCAAAAATTTTTTTTTTACATAGTATTAATTGTGTAAGAATTGTTTCAAAACTAGAGAGAAAATATTTCAATTATGTTGCCTAACGGCTTAGTTGAGACATGGCCAGTTTTATACAAGAAAAATATATTGTAATAGTATTTTGCGGTGGCATTTGAGGAAATACCAGTGCAAGATATTGTTTCACATTTCGTATTGAGGATGCTAATTAAAATAAAATTATAACTAAACTAAACTTTATTTTTAGTCCAGCTATATTCTTCTGTCATCTTTGTCAAATTATTTTATGACAAACTCATAAAAAACTGTGCATTTTAGACATTTCCTTCACCTTTATCGACAAAATCGCCTGGCCTGCTCCAAGATTCGTCGCCGTCCTGTTCGGTTTCTAGCGATCCTTTGTCATCTTCTGATTTTTAATACCCCAGTGTCAGTCTCAACTCCATCCTACTATAATCTAATATTAGCTAATTCTCGATCGGCATCTGCTTCTTATTTTGGGCAAAAGCATACCACTAATTCTGAATATCCTGCATGGTTACGTGACAGAAAAATCTATTTGCGAGGAGCATTGCCACTGTTGGCGGTAATTGTAATGTATAACAAAATTTATTGATTCTTTGGAAAACGGTAAATGGTATCTTTAAATATTTGAATGATCACAAATCAATTTGAAATATGTAATTTTAATTCTGAAAATAAATTTTATGGGATGCAATGTTAATGCTATACTATACTATACTTTTAATTAATAAAATAAATATCGTCAAATAAAAGTCTGATGGGATTCTTAGTAACTTTTGTGAGTGTACTTCTAGATTTTCAACAAATATGGTCTCTATAGTTTGGCAACATATTGTTTATATAACCAATATTTTAATATATGATCAAGTTTTATGATCATATATTATCATGCATAAAATCGATCCCACATTTTTATTATATACTATAACATATTAATACGTGGAGTAACCGAACATTTAATACAATGTTATACTAATAATAATTAATCTCAGGATTTTTAGGGTTTATTTTATAATAAAAATTACGTTGATTTGATAGAGCTGTATAATCGTGTTTCTTTTACAAAAGCTAAACGTTAACTCTCTAAATATAATGCGAATACTCTCTTTTTGTGTTCTATTCAGTGTAAAACTAAATTATATACAAAACGGTCAGACCACATACACTCAGGTCACTGGTCCATCTAACAGGACTCTCGAGACGCCATATTTTGGGGCTTGAAAATCATAATATATACGGCCCCCTTCAGAGGCGCAGCGTCAGGTTGGTTTGTTACAATACGTAATTTTTGTTTTTTAAGTCGGTAGTATTTATAATTTAAATTTTTCTCATGTATCATGACTCCAAAAGGTCTATGCACACAAGAGAATTTGAAGTCACAATTGCTCTTGTAAAAGTTAATAGTAGCATAAGAGGAGACTATTTTCAGGCAAAAATGAGCGTTGTGTTAATTTTGAACACAATTTGGGACAAGTGTTTATAATATCGCTCGTCATAGAGCTTATTTTAATTTTTCTAGGTTAAGGGAAAAATACGGATGCAAATGTTGCCATTTTGGTATAATTAATATGTATATAGTATAATATTATGGCCATTCATTCTGCTATAACCTTTAAACAATCTCAATCATTGTTCGTTTTCTATTTTATATTGTTCCCAACCAGGGACATAAAAGCATAAAACTACATTCATTTCATTATATGATAGACGTAGGGATCTAAACATTAACCAATTTAGATATTACTCTATAATTCTGTATTACTTTATGAACAATTTTGATAAATGTTATTTTAGGCGTATCATATGTGCAACTGTGAGGATCTACGTTTATTCTGTAATGGTTATTATCCAGAGATTATAGTTATGGATCCATTCAGTTTGGAGATACTCTTCATGCTTTCCTCTAAACAAAATCCTGACTGGATTAGCGCCTTACACGTAAGTCGACTATATTTAACGTATTTATTACTTTACAAATATTTTTATAGTTCAAACTATAATTTTCAAAACATCATTAGCGATTAAATACAAATCCTCGGGACTTGTCCTCGGGACTCGAATACTTTTGTTGCAACAGTTAGTAGGACTATAGTAGGACAATTCAGATTCCGAATTTAGACACAATTCAGATTCCGAATTTTTGAATCATTATGCTGTTAACTATTTTCCAGGGAATAAGAAGTTGGTTATATTTTAGGCGTGCATTGACTATATTTGTCAGAAGAGTCTAGATGCTTTCAGGAAGTTGTTCAAGACATATATTGATAGGATCGAGGGCAATTTAATTATCCATGGTGGTAGCATTAATAGAATACATGATTTGTCGATGAACTTCAGGAATGGATTGTGAGGGGCTGCTTCTGGAGATGTTTTCTGTTTCGTGTTCGAATACAATATCAAACATAGGATTTTCAGGAATTGGGAAGATGATCTGAAGAGAATTTTTAAGGTCTTAGAACTTTTCTTTGTTTGAATTTATGATTTGGTTATTTATCAACAGGTGTAGAGGGTTTTTGTTTCATTAAAACTTGGAATAATTCCAGAATTTTCCTATAGTATAGTTTTGAGGTGGTTACTCCCGTCCTTTGGTGAGTCGTAGGATGATGATTTCCTTTTTAATTCTGGCAGCGATGAGTTTATATTCTGTTTTGATTAGTGAGTCACTTTTGAGTTTGTATTGGCGTAATAGCCTAACTTTTTCGTTTGATAATGGACGTTTCGTCGTGGAGGATTCATCTATAGCAAAATCTGGAGACGAAGCTACAACCCAGATAACTGCTTTGCAAGCTTCAACATCCAGGAGTGCTGCATTTTCAAAATGTCTATGAACGAATAAAGAACTAACATAAACCCATAGGAATATAAACGTAGAAATAAGAACAACCAAAATTCCCTTTCGTAGAAAATTCGACTTTTGACATATTTGGGAACTGTGATAACGGACCAACTAGATCCAGACATAGAAATAAAACGTAGAATAGCAATGACTAAAACTACTTATATGAAAATGAAGTCATTTCTTTGCAATAATCATCTCAGTTTAGAACTAAGACAAAGAATGGTTTAAGTGCTTGAAGCATTGGAAATGTGGGTTCATAGACGAATGCTGAAGATACCTTGGACAACAAGGAAAACTAATGAAGAAGTACTAAGGAGCGTTAACAAAGATAGAGAACTGCTAAAGACTATTAAACTTCGAAAAATGTCTTATCTGGTATATGTAGTAAGGGGAAGTCGATATAAAATATTACAACTTATCCTTAAAGGCAAAATAGAGGGCCGTAGAGGCGTAGGAAGGAAACAGGTTTCGTGGTTAAGGAACATTCGAGAATGGACTCGGATATTAAAGGCGGGATAATTATCCCATATTGCAGAAGATCGGGAAGCCTTCGCAATGGTAATCGCCAACGTCGGATAATTCTGATATGGCACGCGAAGAAGAAGATATCGTATTCACATCTGTCGTATGGCCAGACTCTAGACACAGATCGACATGGAAGAGAAGAAGGTGATCAGACGTGATTGTCAATAAAACATCGTCTATCTTCGACCTTATCCAAAAATATTACCTGTATTCAGTGTTGTTGATTTTGAAATAGGATGTTCTAGAATCAGGTCACATAGTTATTTGCCTTCTATGTTATAATGGTAATCAACGAATTGAGTTTTCATACAGTTTAAGTCATCAAACATAATTTCATCTTTAATGTTGAAAAATGCTCAATATGTACGGGTAACGGACGATTTGTGTGTCTGTAGTAACAAATACACTTTTTGTATGACTTGCTGAAAATATCATATATTCATATATTTTATTTTGAATTCTATAGTTGGTGCGGCTTACGTAACACGATTAATAAAAAATTTTAGGTATTAAGACCGGCGAAACGTAAAGACGATGTGGTACTGGCGTTAACCACAACCGGTATGGTCAAAGTGTGGACTCTAACGGGGGCCGAAAATAGACACCAAGAACCGATTTACGAAAACGAAAGTAAACAGATTAGAACTTTGAACGCGGTATGCTTGCAATGTTGCTGTTACAACCAAAGAACGGTTCTTGTGGTCTGCACGAAGTACTGGCAGATTTACGATGCAGGTAAGGATATTTTTTTATGATAATGTTTCTCTTTGTTTCTTTTTTCTTTACTAATGCTCGTGTTGGTGCTTTATATACCAGAATGGTAAGATAAATTATCTACTACGACAAAAATGGATAAGGGGGCGCTGCGTAGTGAGTTGACTACGAATTACATTAAAGCTAAAAGAACCCACTATTTAAAAATCTGCAAAATGCCAAACGTTACATTTCATCGTTTTCCTTCATTTTATAATCAACTTTTATATTTATTACGAGTAATTTGCTAACTGCATCTACATTAAATTTTTAAAATAATAAACATTTTGCATATAATCCAAGTACATATAAAGTATGACCTAGTTTACTTCTGACCTGACATCATGTTTTTTTCTATAACCTGTATATATATATATATATATATATATATATATATATATATATATATATATATATATTGATAGCACGTTATGTACATTATATCACGCCGTTTGATTTGATGTGTCGCCGTTCATTAATAACGAAGATGATGTGTAATGTAGTAGTCTATCTAAAGGGTAGTATACTACCCTTTTAGTAGTCTCTTTGTTTGTTTTTTCTATCTAAATATATTCGTTATATTCTCCTTGTCAAAATCCATTACCTATAAAATCTCCTTCCCCCTCCTGCGCTCTTACTAGTTTCACAAGCCGACCAATTTTAAGGACTACAATTTTGAAGCTTTGTGAACGATTAAATTAAAATGCAATCTTTTTTGATTTTTTCACATTAAAACCCAAAAGTATGTTCTTTCATATGACTGTAATATGGTCTCTTAATTATTATAAACAAAGCTTAAACAATTTTACAAAACAAATTTATAAAAAAAGGCACTAACTTCGTCCCAAATGCCCTAGGCCACCTTTTATTCCTTTTAAATTTGTAAAAAAAATTAGGCTGTCACAATATGAAATAATCAGTTTGTTGCAGTCAATGGTTAAAAAGTTATTCTAATTGTTTATAAGCAAAAAATTAACATGTTTTACAAAATTATTTTGCAATATTTAAAATAATTGTTTATCTCATTTTTTTTAATAATGATAGAATAAATCTTCTTCCTTTAGAATCTATCCGTATATTTAATATACATATTTAATTTTCTGACTTATATTGTTGCAAAAAAATTTAATTTGGTATAAACAAATTAAATAACTTTTATACTCTTTGTGTTATTTTAAGCAACACAAGATCCAACATTGTGTGTAATATAAAGTTTATCAAAAAAAAAAAAATTTAACATTTATAAAAAATCGAAATTTTTCATTTATTTTGCAACTTTCTAAGCAACAAAAAAGAATAAGACCGTTTAGAAAACGTCATTTTGAAGGTTTTGATATGACTTATAAGTTTCTTCTACTTTTTGCTTATGATTTTTTTACATGACTTATCAGATACTTACTCTCAAGTTTGTATCAAATGCCTCACTTTTTGGTGATAGACGAAAAAAGCGAAATTTATCGTTTCTTGACCTTAATTTGTTAATAATTAATTAAGTCCAAAAAATCGACTGCAGGAAACATATAGATTATTGTTATAGAGAACTACCATACTACTCAAAATAACTGTAGATTGCCGGGCCGGACGAGTGTCACGAAAAAAAGCTTATTTCCCTGGGCTAGTATTCAAGTTTCCCGATGTGCGAAAAATTCATTCACTTATTTATGATTCAAATCTTGTTAATCTTTTAAAATTTGTAAAATTTCAATCTTTATAAAATCTAGAAATTTTACTACTTCACAATAATTAATTTTTTCAAAAATTGTAAAAATATAGATTACTGTAATTGAATCGGTGCATTGAAAAAGGTACACATTCCAAATTGACTTTTTTTTTGCAGGAACCAACAAAAAAACTTTATTTGTAAAACTAAATATAGTACAGAAAATGTTTCAATTATGATCTTTTCAATTATGAATTTTTCAAAGTTCATAACTGAAATATTTTCTGTTACGTATTTAGTTTTGCAGATAACTAGCTTTGTTCTTGGTTCCTGAAAAATCAACTCACCGATTCAATTGTAGGATAAGAATAATGACGTATAATATATATTTATTATGTCATTGGATAACATAAACATACACTTACTATAAAACTAAAATGACGTTTAACAAACGACGACACTTACCAAAATAAAATAAAATAAAAACTAAATAAGACTAAGTAAAATTAAATTGAAGGTAAATAGAATTAAATAAAATTAAGTAAAATTAAGTAAAATTAAATATAATTAAGTAAAATTAAATAAAATTAATATATAATATAATAATGATATCTGTAAAAACGCTTCTATGCCGTTTCTGATCATTTCCCATAAAATCCCATAAGAAAATGCTAAGGTTCATTCTGCTCATTTTTTGGGCATTTTGTGCTGGGATGTTGAGACAGAAAAAACACATTGCGGCATTGTTAAGTCGGCATTGCATCATATCTCCTTTGTTATTGGTCCGATTGGAGCGTGTGATACGTTAAATGAACGGGAAGGATATCACGAATATATTAAGATGGGAAAAACATACATGGCAACTGCTAAAAGGGCACTACATAGTATCTTCATTATTAATGAACGTATAGCGACATACAAGATATCATATTGCACTATGGATAAAAATAGATTTACCATAAGGCAAATTTTGATTAATTGACTTACAGCACTCAGCAGCCTCAAGCTGAGTACAAAATAAACAACTGATCGAATCCTAACACGCGACATAGCAAATAAAGGGGGGAGAATATAACGAATATATTTAGATAGAAAAAACAAACAAAAAAACTACTAAAAGGGTAGTATACTACCCTTTAGATAGACTACTACATTACACATCATCTACGTTATTAATGAACGGCGACACATCAAATCAAACGGCGTGATATAATGTACATAACGTGCTATCAAAAGTTATTTAATTTGTTTATACCAAATTAAATTTTTTTGCAACAATATAAGTCAGAAAATTAAATAGGTATATTAAATATACGGATAGATTCTAAAGGAAGAAGATTTATTCTATCATTATTAAAAAAAAATGAGATAAACAATTATTTTAAATATTGCAAAATAATTTGGCAAAACATGTTAATTTTTTGCTTACAAACAATTAGAATAACTTTTTAACCATTGACTGCAACAAACTGATTATTTCATATTGTGACAGCCTAATTTTTTTTACAAATTTAAAAGGAATAAAAGGTGGCCTAGGGCACTTTGGGACGAAGTTAGTGCCTTTTTTTATAAATTTGTTTTGTAAAATTGTTTAAGCTTTGTTTATAATAATTAAGAGACCTTATTAAAGTCATATGAAAGAACATACTTTTGGGTTTTAATGTGAAAAAATCAAAAAAGATTGCGTTTTAATTTAATCGTTCACAAAGCTTCAAAATTGTAGTCCTTAAAATTGGTCGGCTTTTGAAACTAGTGAGCGCAGGAGGGGGAAGGAGATGTTATAGGTAATGGATTTTGACAAGAACTATGACCTTGTAAATAATAGGTAAACTTGTGTACTGCATCGGCATGACTCATAGCTCTTGTCAAAATTCATTACCTCTAACTGTATCTCTGTTTCTTGTTTATATATTTCGATATATTTTTTTTTAAATTTATATGCACTTTTTTGTGCACATTGCGAATATGTATTATTTAAATAATTATGTTGTTAAGTCAACCATTTAATTTGTTTAAACAATTTTTTTTCAGTTTTTATTTTTTTCAGGAATATTTGAGGTAATTTTATTGTAAAAAATAAATATTTAAGAATACACTTTTTTGATAGTCGTAAGTATTTTATTTGTAATAGATTTTGTGAAAAAAAAATTATCCTATTTAATTCTTTCTACTCTAAAGTACTTACTAATATTTCTTTAAAAATAAAAAATTTAAGATTTTCTTCAATGGAAAAATCATCTCATTGAAAAAATTTTCATGGCAACCTATTTATTTATCTATTATTATTTATTTATTTAACGCTTTTTAAACAAATTATTAAAAAATATATTTTTTGCTTCAAAATTATTTTCTTTTAATAATTTGAATTATTCTAAAACGTTATTTTTTTAGTTTTTTTTTACAGTTTTTTTACATCTGATGTTAAACATATTCAAAAATGGCCTCAAAAAACGCTAAAATTGTTTTTTCGGCTATTTTAGTAGTTTATTTGCTCTTTACTTTTAAAGTAAGCGTTCTACATTAATACCATAAGAATAATTTTCGTCTTGAAATAACTCTTAAATTATTAAAAAAAAATTGTTATACATAAATAGGTTGCCATGAAAAAATTTCGGAAACCTTTGAGCGTAGCATATTGGCGCCATAATAATATCGATTAAAACAAGTTTCAGCATGTGGGTATGAAATAAAACTTTTTCGACAAAAGCTACACGTTTGGCATGCTTAGCAAGAAAGAAAATTTAGTTTATCTGGGATTATTTATTTTTCAAGCATTACATAAACCAATAATATTTTTAGAAAAAAAAAGGAATAATAAATAGAATATGATAATTTGTTTTTTTTTCATAAAATCTATTTAAATAAAATATTTTCGAAGTTTATTAAATAAGTATATATATATATATATATATATATATATATATATATAATATATATATATATATATATATATATATATATATATATATATATATATATATATATATATATATATATATATATATATATATAATAAAAAAATAAAAACTGAAAAAATTGTTTAAACAAATTAGATGGTTAATGGCTAATTATTTAAATAATACATATTCGTAATGTAATCAAAAAGTACATACAAATTTAAAAAAGAGACGTCGAAATCTATAAACAAGAAACAGAGATATAGTTAACAAGTTCTTCCCTCTCCTGCGTTCTCACTAGTTTCTAAGCCGACCAATGTTGAGGAACACAATTTTGAAGCTTTGTGAAAGATTCCATTAAAATGCAATCTTTTTCGAATTTTTCAAATTAAAACTCTAAAGTATGTTCTTTCAGATGACCCTAATAAGGTCTCTTAATTGTCATAAACAAAGCTGCTATCAATTTATAAAAAAGGCACTAACATCCCAAAGTGTCCTTCCCAAACTGTCCTAGGTCAACTTTTTTTCTTTTAAATTTGTAAAAAAATTCAGATTCTCAAAATATTAAGAAAAGCAGTTTCTTGCAGTCAATGGTTAAAAAGTTATTCTAATTGTTTATTGTTTAAATAAGAAAAAACTTAAGATGTTTTTGTTAAATTATTTTGCAATATTTAAAATTATTTTTCCTGATTTAAAAAAAAAAACAATATTAGTAGAATAAATCTTCCTTCTTTTAGAATCTAAATAGATGGGAATCTAAATAAAATCTTGGGATAAACAAATTAAATAACTTTTCAACTTTCTAAGCAACAAGTTTCTTCTCTTCTCAAATTCTTTTCAAAAGCTCTACTTTTTGTTGATAGACGAAAAAAGCGAAAATTTACCGTTTTTGACTTTTCGCAAACTAAGAACATTTAATGTTTTGTTGTAGGAGATTTTAGTGTACTATGTTCGTATTTGGCTCCCCGTGGAGAGAGGTGGATGTCTGGAGACTTTCTGGCGATGGACAGGATCATAATGTGGTCCGACGCTGGAAAAGGTTACCTGTACAAGTTGCCATCTAAGTAAGACTCTTTAAAACAATAATAGTTGAAGTTGGTGTAAGATTTTTGTTACTTATGATTAATAATAGCATTTTAATTGTTTAATTTTTAACATACTACTATGGTATTAACTTGATAGATGTTTACGGTTATGGATTTTTAATTATAGGGAGATGTGTATTTATTAACAATTTTCTTTTCTGGCTTAATACAAATAAAAACAAACGCAATAAAATAAATAGGGAATATGGATCCAGTTCATTAACATTAGATGTGAAAAATGAAGAGATAATTCCTTGGTAATCCCCCAAATACAGTTTTGCTGCTGACAAAACTTTTTTATCCTGTGCGTGTGTCCATTGGCTGGATTGCTCTTTGGTTTTGCGAGTACAGTGGTAATCTAGTGTTATGAAATGGTGAAAAAGTACTGGGGATTTTGGAATCTATGCGCTAAGTACTTTTTATTCTTCACTTCTTCCCTTAAAAATTTTATCACAGTGTAATTTGATATATTCACTATGTATGCCATTTATAACAATATTTGTGCTCATACGACAGTATTTAAATTCAGCAAATCAGTTTGGAATAACTGAAAACAAAGGTGCGGATTCCACCAGTGTTGAACCCAGCTCTGCTTTGATTTTGGTTGATGTTGCCTTTCAACTTAAAAAACTTCTACTACTACTAAAAAACTAGAGTTAATAATTTGACCAATATCATTCATAATTATCTCTAAATAATTATTAATATTTATTCACATGTATAAGAGTACAGCATGGTCGAAAATCCACCACAAAACTCTCTGTTGACCTCTCGTTTTTTCTGAGAACATGGCATATGGTCTGTAGCCGTCATTAACTGTAGATTTGATTATTGAACATGAAACATACACTCAAATATTTTCACACGCACCATCCATCTCTTGTAAGACTAAGTATTTATTGAATAATTTTCGACGCGACTGAAGCCAATCTGTGGATATTACTACACTTACGTCCACGATCTTTTTTAACACAACAGCAAATTTTTGGAAAACCTTCTGGAAACTCGCCTTCGATATGACTGCGAGCTATTTTTGAGGTTTAATTTTCTGTAGTTATGGGACCTCTTCTCTTTCCATACAACATACACTCAAATATTTTCACACGCACCATCCATCTCTTGTAAGACTAAGTATTTATTGAATAATTTTCGACGCGACTGAAGCCAATCTGTGGATATTACTTCACTTACGTCCACGATATTTTTTAACACAACAGCAAATTTTTGGAAAACCTTCTGGAAACTCGCCTTCGATATGACTACGAGCTATTTTTGAGGTTTAATTTTCTGTAGTTATGGGACCTCTTCTCTTTCGTTTTTTAAAAACATTGGATAATATTATTATTCATTCTCCTTGCCTTTATCTCTATGCGTGATTGATTTTTTTGGGAATTTATATCTTGGGTCATATCAATCCTCTTCACAGACATGTTCTGCTTAAGCGTCTCCCACCAGTTCTTGTTTGATGTTCCTCTTCTACTGCTTCCAGAAACTGGCAACATCAATCCTTTGTATTAAGCTTTTCGACATTGAAGATGTCCTAGCCATCTTAACGTATGCTATTTTGGCATCAATTTATGCCATCTCTAGACTTTCCTGAATTCCGTTCTTAATTTTGTTATTTTTTATCGCTCTACTCATCGTCTAAGGATTCTCATTTTCATTAAATGTATTTGTTGTTCCTCCTTCGTTTGAACTGTGCAACATTCAGTTTCTTATATATTATCTTCTTCTTCTTCTTCACTGGCTTTACAACTCGGCGTGAGTCTTCTGCATCCCCTGTCCTCTGGCTGCATCCACTATTGCCCTCCATCCTCTACAATCTTGCGCTTCTATTTCCCATTGTTGTACCCCAATTTTAGATAAATCTGCTTCAACATCATCATTCCATCTTTTTCTCGGTCGGCCTACTGATCTTCTACCATCTGGTCTTTCAAAAAACACTTTCTTTTTAGCAGCTTCGATCTTAATAATGTTGAAAGGGAGTAAGTATTATGCTCTATTTCCCACAGCTATCCTTGATGAGACCTTTTTTTCTATGTGGTTGTCAGCTGTGATTATCGCCTTCAGGTATTTAAACTCGTTTACTACTTCGAAATTGTGATCATTAATACTGATGTTCTGTCTAACACTTGGTCTTAAATTTTTAGTTACTACCATGTATTTCGCCTTTTCTTCATTTATTCGGAGACCCAGACTACCTGTTTCCTCCTCGAGCTATGAAAACACCTATCTCACGTCTCTTGTAGAATGCGTGACTGCATCTATATAATCAGCAAAGGCCAGTAAACTTTTGATCCTTGACCAGTAAATCTTCCTGTTAGCTCAGACGATTTTTACTTTTTGCATAATCTAAAGCAAAATTGAACAGCAACGAAGATAAGGGGTCCCCCTGCCTAAGTCCTGAATTTATACCACATCGCATCGATGGTCTGCTTCCTATCTTTAGTTGCGCATATTAGTGTCACGCACATTTGCGTTAATTCAACTAATTTTCTTGGTATTCTCATTTCTAACATTGCTATCCACAATTTGCTTCTTTTTATGGAATGGCTTGCTGGAAATCTATGAGAATTTGGGCACATCACGGTTGAATTCCTAGTTTTTCTCCAATATTTGTCGAACGGTAAATATCTGATCTACAGTTGACCTTCCAGCACGAAAGCCACATTAGTAGTCCACTAGAATATCTTCCAAATATGGTGTGAGTCTCTTTAGCAAGATAATTGATAGCACTTTATATAATATGCTAATAAGCGATATGCCTCTATAGTTTCGGAATTGTTCTTTGTTTACTTTCTTATATATGGGAATTATAACGCTTCCATTCCATTCTCTAGGCATTTTCTGTTGTTGCCATACTCTCAGAATCATGTCATAAAATTTTTGGTGTAAAAGGTTTCCTCCTTTTTTTAACAACTCTCCATTTGTGCAATCATTTCCCGGTGCTTTAGAGTTTTTTAGAGACCCGATCCTATTCTTTACTTCTTCACTTTCAATATTTAGTAACTTCCGAAAGTATTCCTTCCATCGTTCGACAATTTCCAGGTTTCGGTTCCGGTTTCTATCATTATAAGTTCACCTGCTTCATTTTTCATAGGCTGTGTTACTCCAACACTTGCAGTTATGAAATTTTTCTTTCAATTTGATTGGAATATTTCTTTTACGCAACACACCATCACAACACAACATACAACACATACACAACACTTCATCCTTCCACTATTAGTCTGCAATATTGATCCTAGATAACTTTGTGATAAATATATACATTTACATAAAAAAATTCAAATAAAAGAATAATGTTATAATAATTTTCCGAAAATATTAAAAATCCTAATATATTAAATTAAAAATCCTAATATATATATATATATATATATATATATATATATATATATATATATATATATATATATATATATATATATATATATATATATATATATATATACAAACAACACAGTTTATTAGGGTTGCAGTCAGAATTATTGGCCGGGATGTTAAAAAAACACTCTTTTGACTTTTTGTCGAGCTTTCGGAATATTTTTATTCCTTTTTCAAGACACTGTAAAAGACAATTATGTAAGTATTTAAAAATAATATCACCATTCTTCAGTGTAACTTACTAGTCGTTGAGATTATTTTTGTAAGCATTGAACACTCAACATTAATACCACACATTAAAATATACAATTATGGACAATACATCATAAAATTTTTAAAAATTTGTTGTTAAAAATAGTAAAACTTGATTGATGGCATGTTTTACTGGTGTATATTAACTCATACAGAGAATGGAAAGAAAAAACAGTGTAATTAATATGTAATTAGGTGTAAATTGATGTTATCTTTCTTTACAAGCATTACTAGAGGCCTTTCTTAGGTGTCTATAATTTTTAACCTGTCTTAATGGTATGCAACATATTATACAGAGGTGTAATTTTTCGTACAGGTAAATATTTATTTTATTTTTATTTTTGGTGTTTTTCTAGTAAATAACAATAAATGTTACTTAATTTGTCTATATCGGACTTTTTATTGATACAAGATGTGCTAGATTTTATGAAACACATTTCCAAAAAAACACGTTTTAAATGGTTCTTTTCTTTTGCCAAAATACAGGAATCATCGAACTTGAACTCATGTTTTAGAGTTAGTGCATGTTCTGTCAATGCACATGCATTGATTTTTTTGGTTTTTATGTCACTGCGATGTGATATCACCCTGCTGTGAAAATTACGAGATGATTCTCCTATGTAAATTTTATTGCAGTTACTACACGGTATAGAATAAACAACATTCGATGACTCCTGTATTGTGAAAGGATCTTTTGTCTTTGTGTAAAGCTTCGATACTGTTTTCACATTTTTGGTTGTAATTTTTAAGCCACTAACATTTTTAAAGATGTTCATTAGCTTAGGTGTCAAAAATGGAATATAGGGTAGGCAACCATAAGTTATTTTAGATGGTAATATTGCTGCGTTATGTGTCAATGTCAATTGTCGGATCTCATTGTTATGAAAATTTTGGTTGACAGAAACTTGTGAAGGAAAAGGAGAACCGAAAATGAGTTTGTTTAACAGCCCTATGGGATAAGAATTCTCTTGTAGTATGGATCTCAACTTTTTTAGTCCCTTGTCTCTGAATTCTGTATGTGACAAATTGATAACCCTAGTTTTTAAAGCCAAAACCAAATTTGTTTTCATCTTAGATGGATGTTGAGAATAAAAGTTTATGAAACGGTTACTGAAACAAGGTTTACGATACCACTCCGTCTTTAGCATGCCATCATTGCCACGATGGATTAGCATGTCTAAAAAAGGAATCATATTATCAGCCTCTCTCTCAACCGTAAACTGTAGGTGTTCACATTGGGCATTAAAAGTGTTTAAAACATCAGTTACCTTGTTTTCAGGGACCGATAGAATCAAATCATCTACATAACGTTTAATAAATGGTATGTGAAAAGGTATGTT